TTTTTAATATTCTCTGATGACTGATCAAAATAGCCTCTGATGCATATCCTTAAATGTTGTGCTTGGATATCGAGGAATCTGTCGTGTAAACTATTTACTCCTTTATTTGCAATTAGTATATAGAGAATTTGAAAGAAAATGTATTACACTTGAAGTGCTGAATTTCAGCTATATCAATAGGGAAGACTGAGAAGTTAAGCTACTAAAATGATATAAACTCAACTTATACAACAAAATCAGATTATTAATACTTGTGTAGGGAGAGTTTCAGGGCCTACTTTGCTAGATAGATAGTCCGGTGCTACCCAACATACTGAAAGAATCCTTTGAAGCAGCAGATATTTTGATCCTTACTCATTGATCACTTATTCCTTCACGTATGATAACTATCCTTATGTTTTGTCATGACTTATGTACAGACAATATTTCATCTAGCATTATCAAAGATACAGATATGTTTTCTGAGTGTTTTATTTTATGTCAGTTCCATTTTTGACAGGAAATTTGTCCCAAATGTTGTCTTGAATTCAGTGCCTTATTGGACAAAGAACATTGACCTGAAGCAGAATGTTGTAGCCACGCCATTCCAATAGCAGAGCTATTCCAACCCAGTTGATTTCATGTATTTCCATTAACGTGTTTTGCTCATAGCCATAAGAAATAATATTCTCAATCTTGCTTCCCAATCATAATACATATTATTATTATTAGAAATAAATGTAATGAAATGAAAATGTGTAAAATTACATTGAGAAAACTTGTTAGGAAAAAAAGAAAACTTTTTAGAAATAAAGTGATGTGAATATCAAATCTTGAAAAACCTTTTTGTTTTGCTTTGCTTTTTTTGGTATTTGGATTGAACCCAGGTTCTTGCTTTGCCTAAGCAATGCTACTCCCTCTGCCAAATCTTGAAAATCTTAATATCTATCTACTTTCCCCCTGAGACATGTCAAAATAAAACTAACCATTGTAGGAGCTCCTATAAGACAAAAATGAAATGGAAATCAAAACCCTAATTAATAAAATTCTTACCGAAACATTTATAGAAAAACAATTGACCCTGATGAAAATAATTTCAGCCAAAACAATAAAAAGAATACGGGAGCCAGGGATTTAGCTCAGTGGTGCCACCACCTGCCTCGCAAGCACAAGGTCTTTAGTTCACAGTACTGAAAATTGGCTAGGAATTAAATTGACAATTAAATCACTTAAAAACATTTCATCAATAAAAATTTTTCAGTGGTTCTGCACCTGCCTGGCAAGCACAAGATTCTGAGTTCGATCCCTGGTACCACACACACATACAAAAGTAAATATGGATGATAACATTTTATTAATTTAAATGTTTTAATTAAAACAGTTATGTTCATAAATTTATATCATTGCAAGGGCTCCCATATCCTGTTAGCATAGGAAATCTTTCTGTGATGACTTAATGTAATAATTATGGACATCTCTTGACCAGAGCAGTCGTAGGTGGCCGTATGTACTGCTGATTACTCCAGCTCTTCCTTGGTTGTCCACTAGTACTCTTTGTAGTAGTCAGTGAAGATTACCATGGACATACTCTTCTTTTCTGTGTTATAGAGTCTTGAAGACTGACAGTAAATGCAGCATAGCAATAAAGAGTTGGTAGTTGAGGGCCAGGGATTTAGCTCAGTGGCACTGTGCCTGCCTTGCAAGTGCAAGGTCCTGAGTTAAATCTCTGGTGTGAAAAAAAAAAAAAAAAAAAGAGTTGGTAGTTGAGCTGTTTTGGAAAAAATCTTTTAACCATTTTGTTCTCATTTATGAGGATGGTTGATAAATTGAACTTACGCAAAGAAAGACTTTTTCATTATACTTAGCCAAATTTGAGTTTAGTTTCCAGCAAAACTGAAGGCATAGAAAATATGTGTAATCTGAAAAAGGTCAAGTCTTGTGGAAAGTAAAAGTGAGTATATTCCAGTTGTGGTTATGAAAGAAGTTGAAATTTTTTTGAGTGATCCTCAGTCTGAAAAGCAATAATATTTCATCAGTAACTTATTCAAAGTAGCAATAAGATTTTTTTTTTTTTTTTGAGACAGGGTCCCACTATGTAGTTGAGACTGACCTGGAACTCACTATGTAGCCGAGGCTGGTCTCAAACTCACAGTGATCCTCCTGCCTCAGCGTCCTGAGTGCTGGGATTTCAGGCATGTGCCACCACACCCAACTTTTTTTTAAATAAGCTTTTAGAAGTTTAGATTTGTGGAAGAGAAAAGATTATAAGCCTAAGGTTTTTTAAAATGGAATTTCTTATTTTATTTATTCATTGACCAAATGCCAAATTCTGATGTAACCTAGGAACCTCTAGAGAAATTAGACACAGGCAGTTCTCATTTTGCATAGGTCCCATAGTATCTAAGAGTTGGTTCAGCATTTTCACATTTCACTTGAGCCTCATAACCATGTTGTTAAGGCATTGGAGGGGTTATATTTATAATAAAACAAGTTTGATAGTGTAATATTCCTATTTTACAAGTAAAGTCTCAGAGAGCTTAGGTCTCTTATCCAAAGCCATAGCTTAGGCTAAAATCCAGATTATTGAATGCTTAGAACAGAGTTCTTTTTTCTACAATATTACCTTATGTGAAAGATTCAGACTTATGTATTTATCTTGATTATGGTGTTATGTATTTGAGGAACTTGATCACTGCCTTTTTATAGTACAGCAATTTTGTTATCATGATTCACATAATTAGATGAAGGTGTATATTTTTCTGTGGAATATAATCTGTAATTTTTCTGGTATTTATAACTAGCTGTTCAATAAGCACTAATTTATATAAATTTTGAATAAAATTGGAAAAATCATACTATAAGTAACAATAGTCATAGAATAGAAAATGAATGATGTGATTTTAATATGTGCCTTCTATGACCACTGAAAATCACTTAATCATTCTAAAACTCCCTACTTAATTTGGAAAACAAATTCCTGTACTGTTTCCCTTATCACAGTGGTTTTATGGGATTCAAATGAAATGATAGATATGAAAACACTTTAAAACACTTAGTGATTTTAGTGCTGTCTTTCCTTAGGGATCTTGATTTATGGAGGCTAATATTAAAAAGCACTATTTATTTAATGGTGCATTATTAACTATATTTATTCTTTTCAATTTCATCTTCATAAGGATCTGTTAAGATGACTCTCTTAACATTTCACTGGGACAGCCCAAGAGCCATGCTGTACGGAATCACTTTGGGGCTCTTGGAGCTCATGGATGATAGGAAGAGGTTACCATGCATCTAAAATTTGTCACAAATATTCCTCAAAGTAGTTGATTCTTAGTAGTTGATCCTTAAGTAGTGTTCAGTGTCAGCTGAGTAACAGTAAAATCATTTGAGAGATATTTATTATTTATAATTTCACATGATATTCTGGTCCTTGCTGCTTACATTTGACATTGGGACTGATACACATTCACTTAATAGAAAAGTTTAATCTGCATTAGCTATTTGGTATAGTGTTTCTCAAACTTTTGAAATCCTTCTATGAATAAACCTAAGAATGTTACCTCAAAAATGTGGGTATTGCTATACATCCTTTAAACTATCATTTACAACTCAGTTATCTGACTATTGGGGGGAGGTCCCTAAAGATGGTATATAAATAAGAAAGTCCTAAAAGTCCAGAAAATGTATTATTGATGGTAATTTTATAAATCCTGAGAATGTGTATCATAGCTTAAAGTGAAATAAGATTGTAATTGTTAATAAGTAGTTTACATTAGATTTAGTCTTTGCTGTATTTGGTCAGGGTAGGTATAAACAGAATTTTCAACGGTTGTAATGTCACAGAATCCTAGAATGCTAGAATTTACAGGCATATTGGCGATATCTTATCCAAGCCTTATTTGAGGTTCAGAGAGGGTAATCGTTCAAGTTTACAGAATGAGTTGGTTTTAGGTTATGCTAGGTCTTACTCCAAACATATATGTTCTGCTCTGTATTACATCTTTTCAAATTCCCAAGAAAAACAGATTTTTCTAACGGGTGTTTACAGACTGTCTTTCTCAATTCAGTTTTACTTAGAGCAGGAAAACTGTCTTTCTTAGCAGCACAAAATCACATCACACCCCCCATAGCGGGCAGAATTCTGGTAGAAAATGTCAAACTCACGGTGCCCTCCCACGTATCTGTGTTTAATAGTTTCTTCATCTCGAATCTTGTTGGCGAGATGACAGCACTCCTTGAAAGCTTGGACACAGCGTGGCCCTATAGTAATACGTTCAGCTCGCGTCTCACAGCTTTCATCATCATTACGACGGGCTCCATCATAACAACATCTCTTCAGCACTGGATGTTTGTATCTAGCAGCTGAATGGTAATAATACAAGTCAGTGCCTTGATTATGCATAGAATCATAACATCTCAGGCTTAGAAGAAGTCCTGAGGAACACGTGGTTTCTACTGAGAAATGATGTCCATGCCTGCAACAGCCATACCTAGTTGACTACTGACCAGCCTCTCTTTGGAACTAATCTAGGAATAGGGAGAAGGTGATCTCACCAGGTAGCCCTTTCCAGTTTACACTAAATAGTAAAGGGCTTTCTGCATCTGAACTAAATGTTAACTTTTGGCACTGGCACTCTGAGTTCACACTTTGAACAAAATAAGTTAAATAGCAAAGAAGCCTTCGGGTATTTGAAGATGTCTGTCATTGCTATACAGGAATCTCCTCTATGCTAAAATTCTACTTCTTCAGATAGAGATAGATCTTACATGACATAGTTTATAGACCTTCACTAGTGGGATCATCCATCATCTTCAGTGCTCAAATTAATCAATCTCTCTTTTCATATCATTAGAACAGATAATGAAGGTTAGAATCACAATAATTCTTAAGTGAATAGAAGAAATTATTATATTAACATAATCATGATTATTGGCTGAACTCAGATCACTGACTCCCAGGAAAGTGTTCTTTCTAGTATGATGGTCATTTATCAATGATTTAAATATTTCCCATTAGATTTATTTTCCAAAGGATACTCTGAAATGCTACTAATTATTAAATATATGAAAATAGAATAAATATTTCTAGGTATGCCCCAATTTAATCAAAGCAAAGATCTTGCCAAATTAAAATGGAAGGATATGATTTTAATTGCTAGATGAAGTTTGTAGAGAAGCAATATTTGTGACAAAGGTTAATATTTTGGATTTTAGAGACAGAAATAAGAAAGCCTGTTTATCTCAGATTAAGGCTGAACTACTGGGTTTATTTGGTTTAATCTTAGAGAGCTGAACTAGATCTCCACACATATCTATATTTTCACCTGTTACTTTTGAAATAGAGGAAAATATAATGTTTAATTTTCTACAGCTTTTGAATGCTATGCTCATAATTTTTAACAATCACATGAAACCTTTGGAGTACCATTTTCTTCTATTTTCTCTTTCAGATTTCTTTTTCTCCGGTGAATTTCTTTGCAGGGTTCATCTGGGGAGAGAGAGAAAGGTGAAGGATAAAAATCTAAAAATATTCCCATAAAACCAAGTATTTAAAACATTCATAATTATTCATTCAACAAATCCACATTGAAACTCTGCTTCAAATTAAGGATTATCCACACACATCTTAATATGACTTGTTTTATTATAGTAAAGGTCATTGTCTGGCAAAGTTATTTTGATTTGTTTTATCTTATCTGAGTATGGTTTTGAATCCTGTAACATTTCTGATCCTTTGATTTAGAGCGAGTGAACATCTGGAGTGAGCGAAATTTATGTTAATCTATTTCTCTTATTTTTTCTTTGAGGTATAGTTTACACACATAAGCATCAATATAATAGCATCAAATATAACTATGAACAATTTTAAAAGCATAGGAAGAAGGTGACTAAAATTTAATCTCTGCTTTTGAAGAGTTCAAGTGCCGAGGGGTAAAAAAAGATATAAAATCAAGTATAAGGATGCACAAAAATGAACTATTATCATGTTACTTATAAATAGATCTACTCCCTACAGTATTCTTCTTATAAAAGAGGAAGATCCCAAATAGAAGAGATGATTCTTATCCTGGCTTCTCCAGGATAATAAAGTGGGAAGCAGCCTCCATAAGTAAAGGCTCAAAGGTGTGAAAAGTTCATGGTATCATTCAAGAACTACACTTGGGTGTGTATAGCTTAAATACAAGTTAAAGAACAGGCTGGAAAAAGGTTGGAAAGAGCCAGGAAAAAGATGATGGAAGGTTGTGAGCACTACATTGAAGCATTAGTACTTTATTCTAAAGGCAAATGAAACCTTGTGTACCAGGGAGTTACAAAGTCGTGGAATTCTAAGATCAGTGCAGAGAATATTCTGGAAGAGAGACGAAAGTAGGGTCTGGCAAGCAAAGTATCACTATAAATTTCAGTAATAAAAGCGCTGAGTGTTTTACCAATTTCTTGCGGCTCATTTACATTTGCATTGGTGGTGAAGGTGAGTCCAGCTCGATGGAATACATCTGCGTTGTCACGGCCACCACCTGCCCCACAGCCCAGGTCACTTTTCCCTAAAGTATGAAACATCTGTCCAGAAAAGTAAAATGTTGAGCCTATTCAGATTTGTAAGTCATTACTCCAAAGAACTAAAGGTACTAGTCATTACATAGTTATAATAAACCTGTGACATACACGGGCATTTATTTGTCAACTGACCAAAGTTTGACCTTCTATATTTATAACTAGCCAAAATTAAATCAACAACTGAATTTTAAGCAAATGGCTTTGATGAGGAGATTTGGGGAAATTGACCCATAGTTTTGGCATGTAACATAAATGCTGCAGGCAAGATTATGTCTAAAATAAATGAATAGATGAATAAAGTAAATGAAAAGGAAGGAAATAACTAATTTTTAAGTTGCTAAGAAAAAAATAAAAACACAACCTCTTGTGTTTTAAAGAAGAGTTGTAAGTTCTAAATTAGGGAGTACTAATAGACCAGGCTGATCTGAGTTTTAATTTTGATCCTAAATATAGTCCCTCTCTGCCTTTTTTTCTCTCTTTTTGGTGGTCCTAGGGATCAAACCTTGGTCCTCATGAAATTGCTGTAGCACTGAACTATACCCCTTACCTAAATGTATTTAATTCACAATTTTTCAATTAATTTTTCCTTATTTAAAGGAACTTGAGCCTAGAAAATAATAGCTGAATGTTATGAAAATAAATGGGAACATAGGGAATTAAGTACTTTTGAAATTTTTCTGTACTACAGATTTTAATGAGAGTTCAAACAAATCCCCAGATTTCCCATCCAGTCCCTTTTTGTGCTTCTATAACTGCTAACACCACTCTGACCCAGATCCTCAAACTCTCCTAATTGATGGTAAATGTACTTCTTTAATGTATTACCATGGTCATATGTTTTCAAAGCACTTAAATCTACATTTTGAAAAACAAAAAAGATTGACGTGTTTTGGGAATACAAGATGACTTATACTTTCCTAAAACTATCATACTAAGTTTGTTATAGAAAAGCAGGCAACTGTTTCCTTAATTATCTGCTCACAACCTGTCCTAGTGGCCACACTTTGTGAAGCATTGCACTGACTGCCCACTCCATCGTAACTACACAACAGCATGGTTTAACTCTCTGCGTGGGCTTTTTCACTCTTGTTTGACTGTTCTAGCTGTTCTGTCATCTACAGTTAGTGCAGCTTATGGGTAGCCATAGGTGAATGGGTAGCTGCAGTAAGAGCCACAGTTTGTGCTAGTGGTGTAGCTCAGTGGTAGAGCACTTTCCTAACATGTACAAGTCCCTGGGTTCAATTCCTAACACCATAAAACAACGACAACAAAACAACAGAACCACATACAGAGACACTTGGAGAATACAGTAGGCATCTGCATCTGGCAACACACGAACTTTGGTCATTTGAAAAAGAAAAGACCATTTGTATGAGACAAAACTGTCCAGAGGCAGATGCTCTGACAGCCTCCTTCATTTAGAAGGAAATTGTTGTGATGTATGATTTCTGGCTCACCTGCAAATGGGTCCAGTTCTTTTCTCCAATATTTAACACAACTGAATCAGATACTAATTCTGCTGTCTGCTCTCCTGTGATGATGTAATAGACCAGGAGTCGGGCTGAAGGAACCATATTCTGTGTCACTTGAATGTTTATACTTTCATAAGATGAACCTGGAATTTTCTCCTTTGTGCCAAATTGTATGATTTTGCCCTTGGATAAAATCTAAAAATAAACAGTTGAAGCAACAACAAGTACATAAACAAAACTGTGGTTCAGGATGGAGCTTGGAGCTAGAGTAAAAAATCTATGTTAAAGACAAATTAAGTAACATGTATGTATGTTCCTAGTATGTTCCAGGAACGTTAACATTTATTTAATTCCTTTAATTCTCACAGTACACCAGTGGATGGGACTATTACCTCCATTAAAGAAACAGAGGCTCAACAAGAAGCAATTTAAATATGCTCAGGGAACATTTTCACCTCCAGAATTAAGGATTATTTTAATGTTACATCATTGCCTTTTCTCTTTTGCTTTCCTTTTTAGTTTTATTTTAGGATTCCCTATTTTTAATGTTCATACAGAGATTTCTTTAACTGAAATACCGAATAGTTTCTCTGGTGTGAAAAACTATAATAGTACACAGGATCCTAATGAGATAATTAATAATGTGAAATAGGAAGTAAAGGGCTAAAGGTGTAGGGAAAGTGGGAAGGGTGGGGGAAAGGTAATAAGGGAGAGGAAAAAAATATGAGAAACTGAAAAAATGGAAATAAAGTGTTTGTAAATGGGGAGGGGAGGAGGGGGTGAAGGGAGGGCAGGGACAAGGGGAAAAAATGAGAATAAAGACCTATTATGTAAAGGTACAGAATCCCAATGATGAATGTAACTTATACCTAGATTGCACCAATAAACTCAATAAAAAGAAAAAAAAAAGAAACAGAGGCTCAGGAACTACTAAACTTTATACTGATTTTTAGTTCAAAATCATATACCTAAGAAATTGCAGAACTGTAATTTGTACTTATATGTGTTTCAAATCATATGCCATCACTAAACTCTCCTCTGTTTTGTTGATTACAAAGAATAGATGAGTAAGTGGAGTGCTCCTTGTGTGGAGGTTAAGTTTTAAAGCCGCAGATTAGGCTCTAAATTGAGATTTAAGGTTGAAAAAAAAATGCAAAGTAAAAATATCTTCAAAGTTCCCTTAAATTTTCCTCAGCAAACAAGAATGCATACATGGTTTTGGTACTGTAAACATAGTCTGTAAACAGTTTTTCTCATCAGTCAATATTTTTCTATAATCTTCATTTTCTTCTTCAAAAATGTTGCAAAAGCCATTACTCTCTGTTTGGCCAGGGTATTGGAAAAACTCATTTCACTTGTTAGCTACTGTCCAAAAGCTCTGGACATTTTTTTTTTCACTCTTTCCTAGGTCTTAGCAACAAGTTTGACTGATCTGCTTCCTGTTTAGCAGCAGTGATATGAGGGGTGCTGCTGCCTAGAATTGAAACAGCTATGATGTGACAATTCTTTAGAGCAGGATTTATTCCCCTTGTGCCAATGAAATGCACGTTTGAACTAGATGCAAGCAGAAAATCTTTGGCTGTGATATACAGAAGAGGTGGTGTGATTTAATCAGGCTTTTTTTTTTTGGTGTTATCAAGAGTTATTAGGCCAGGAATCAATGATCTTTAGTTCACATAAAAAAAAATCTTCTGAACTGAATGAGTCTTACAACTTCTCTGTCCCTCAGTTTCCTCATTTGAAAAATGGTTATAAAAACCATGCCCTATCTCAAAGGTTTTTGAAGAGCTAAGGTTCAAATTAGATTTTCTTGAAAGCACTTTGTAAATACAAATGTAAGGAATGTTCAAATGCTTCTCTATAAGTCAGGGAAAAATATTTCAGGTGGGGGAAAAAGATGTAAATGTATCATTACTGTACTTACGAAGTAATTATAATGAGTTATTTTGTGAATATATGGACTTTTGGCAGTGAAAGTGATATTCAGATGTTCTCCCACAAGCAAAGCTTTATAGTTTTCAGTCCAATCAATAGAAAGGTAACTTTGGCTGACAGAGGAGTATGGGATGGCTCGATAATGTTTGCCAGCTTGATTTTTTTCTGGAAGGTCTGGAGCATCAGTTTTGACCTGAAAAGGAAATTTCAAAAACATACACAGATTGTGAGCAATATTTTTAATAAAATATACCCTTCAAATATTTGCATTATAAATTTCTAAATTTCACAATTATTGAATGCTAAAGACAACAACAGCAGCAAGAAGACCACCTCTATTACTCTAGTTTTGACAGCTGTGGTATTAAGTAACTTTACAAAGACTGGGAAATAATGATGGAATTGGGGGATATGGTCAAAAAGTTTGATGAAATGAAGAGAGAAGAATACTGCAGAAACAAGCCTCACTTTCCTCAGCCACAAAACTGACGCAGATAATGTTTTATACTTCATATTGCTGATTAAATAGGTATTAGATATGTTCTTCATAAGGCTTTTGGCACAGTGTCTTGGCACTTAGCACTTATTAAGTGCTCAGTAGATGACAGTGAATATGTACATGACGCTGTAATTGACCTGCATTGTCCACTGCATTTTATTTGAGATTGGGGACTATGTGCTGGGAGAGCAGATGATCAAGCAAAACCTCTAAAGAAGAGTAGTTTGTACTCTTCTTTAGGGAAGGTAGGATTCCACTTTTAACCCTTTTGTGGTCCTGAAAAAAAGATAAAAAGTGTGATGGGGTATGTTACAGACATCCCCAGTCCAGTGCTAGTAGACTATGAGTGGTATTTGCTTCTTGCTTTCCATAATTCAGCTATAATTGTTTTATATCAAGAGTCAAACTGAAGCTGTATGTGACTCAAATGGGCATGTGAGAAGGCAGACTGGGTGAGTTTAGCTCCTCCCCACATAGCTGCACAGAAACCCAGGTCCTGGTCTGTAAAGTGGCAGGGCTCTGCTGAGTTACATGCAACTGAGGTCAGTGTGACCCCAAATAAAATCCTTTCCTATGTATTATGGCTTCTCGCTAACTCAATGGGTTGCTTGCTTATTGCACCTGGTCCCAGTACTGGTTTGTTTTATCTGAGAAAGATAAACAGTGCTTACTTCCTAACATCCCTGCCTGGCACCATCATGCAAGGTGTTCAGCAGTATTTCACTAAATACCTTCAAAACACCCCCAGGTCCCTATTTCTTTCCATGGCCATATTCAATAAGTACTGGATGCACTTGGGGGCCTTTGTCTTTGCTGCCATCAGCAGCATTGATCAGGTCCCACTACTTAGCTTCTATCTAAGTTTCATTTCCTGCCTTTACTTATTTATTTTATTTTTTTGCCTTGTGCTGTAGTGGCTCACAGGAGGCCAGAATCTAATGCAGAGGTTCTGGCAACATTCCCTTCCCTGTTCCCTATAACAGGATATTTCTACAACTGATATCCACTACTATCTCAACCTATATTCTGAACCTTTCATATTCTAATATAGTCTTATTGGTGTAAGAGAAAATATGTAGTTAGAGCTGGGGATTTAGCTCAGTGGTGCTGCCACCCACCTCACAAGTGCAAGGTCCTGAGTTTGATCCCCAGTACAAAAACAAAAACAAAAAAAAAGAAAGAAAAGAAAAAATGTAGTTAATTTTCAAACAAAAATGGACAGATTAATCTTCCTCTAGAACCATTCAACATATTAGCAGATTGTCTCCGGTACTCATTTGCCTTAATACAATTGTGGAACAGTTCACTGAACTCATATAAATCTGCTGTATCTGCTTTGCACACTAGCCAAATTATATGACAAAAAGTATATATCAAGCTGGGCACAGGGGTGCACTCTCGTGATTCTAGTACTCTGGGGCTGGTGCAGAAGGAGCACAAGTTTGAGCCCAATGTGGACAGCTTAGCCTGACTCTGTCTCAATTTTTTAAAAATGGGCCAGGGGCCTGGGGATTTAGCTCAGTGGGTCTGCCACCTGCTTTGCAAGCACAAGGTCCTGTGCAAAGGTCCTGGTTTCAATTCTCAGTACTGCAAAAAAAAAAAAAAAAAAAAAAAAAAAAAAAAAAAAAAAAAAATAGTACACACCACCTTAGAACTACAGCAGGAGAATCTAACTCACCGAAAATTCCAGTGCTGTCACTCCAAATGGGAGGTAAACCAAAAATGAAGCTACTCCATCACTGAAACTTGTTACACTTTTTCTTGGTTCCAAGTCAGATGTCATTTGGTTTACATTGACTGTTTGTGCATTCAGGATGACTGGGACCCCTTCTACCAACTGGTCAAGTGTATCCTTAACCTGCACCTGTTGGATAGAACAATTCAAATCCATTTCAACAGGTCATCACATCTTTCAAAGCACCAACTCTGAAATAGTTTACCTTCTCTCCACCAAAGTATAAATTAATTATGTTTAGTTAAGTAATGCAAACTGAGTTCTCATGTCATAAAATTATTTATTTTTCATGTAAAGGTACAAGATCCCAATGATGAATGTAACTGTACTGTATACCTAAAATGTACCAATAAACTCAATGAGAAAAATAAATAAATAAAATTATTTATTTTATTTAATCATTTTTAAATGAATTCCCTAATCAACCAGACTCAGAATGTAAATATTCTGTAAGCCAAATAAATGTGACAAGATTGTCTACTAATTTCTGTATTTCTTTAATTGTATTAGAGCAGGAAAAAGGAGAAAAATGGAGCAATTACTTTTAGGAAGGATTCTTTTGGATATGAGAAACATTAAATAGATACATTTTCTTTCTGAACTTCTGCCACCAGTACATATATATAATTATATATAATATATAAATTCCACAGATAAGTTACTTTTATATGTGATATAAAATATATGATGTTGTGGGCTGGGAATGTAGCTCAGTGGCACTGCACCTGCCTGGCAAGTGCAAGGTCCTGAGTTTGATCCCTGATCCCTGAT